ACAAGCTTCGGCGACGACATACACGGTGAATCGGTAATTGGAGAAATATTCCAGCAGCCCCATAAGCGGTTCGTTGGGATCATCCCGCAGCGGCCATTAGGGCGGTGGATGGCGGAGATAATAAACACCACACAAAAGCCGGAGGAAGCTGCACGAGCACGTTTGCTTCGTGGGCCCAATACAGGAACAAATTCTAGGCAACGCGATCCCAATTCTTCGAATTTCACAAGTCTTGTTCTCAGCAAGGCTAGTAACACTTCCAACATCTCCAATTGGAATTCGTCCTCGTCTACTTCTTCTTCTTCTACGCCTTTTATGAATCAAATTCACGTAATCCGATTCGCACACGAAGAGAGTAATTTCTCAGAATCCCACTTTACTGATTACGAGCGCCCGAGTCTCGGCTGGGACATAACACAAACACTTGGTGGGCGTCCTGATAACTCTGGTTCAAACCCTAATTATAATTTCAAACTTCTTCTTCCACACACTGGAGGGTCAATTAGCAGTACTGCATCACCCAATGATCATCATGAAGTACTCATCGACATCATCAGATTGATCGAAAACGATTGCATTAATTATGACAGACGAGTACACTCAGACAATTATCACCCGGTGGCAACAACTTTTCATGATGAACTCAAACTCGAAAAGAAACCAAGATTATTATTCGACAGGGGCTACGGAATGATGAGGGAGACGACTGTAGCGCTTTGCGGGCAAGCTGTCGGTGCTGTAATGACTAATGCATTAGCCACCTCTTCATCGTCTTCTTCATCGTGTGCTGTGTGGATGTCGGAGATTGCTGTTGCATTGGGCCTCTGCTTCATCATGGCAGGAATCAGCCTGCGTGAGAAAAGGCGGGACTTTTCGATTATGATGACCAAATTTGGCGCCATTGCCACGTCATGGGCGATTATCATCTCACTGGGTTCGCACCTCCCGCCGGTGATGGGGTGGGCGGTGGCAACGGTGGCTTTCTTCACCGTCGCAGCCTCCGTCGCATTTGCGTGACTGTTTGTTTACCATACTTCTCCCACTGATCGATTAGGATGAAAATAAATGCATGCAAACAAGGTTTAGTAGTTAATTGATTTCAGATGCGTGTTTGCTTTTTTTTTTTTTTTTTTTTTGAATAAATAATTTGATGGGTGATGGATATATAAAATAGACCACAAATTAATGATTTAATTTAATTATATTATCTTATCAATCCAAATGTATGTAGCACGGACACGGAAACGGTGATACTGAGAAACGGGAAACAGACACTGAAAAACGGTATATTCCAAAAATAGGGATACGGGGAGCTTGCGGGAAACGTGCAAATATTAAAAGTATACGTGTTATATTTATAAATATGTTATATAAGCATATTTAAATTTTTATTTGCATATAAATTCTTTTTATATATTTTCATGAAAACATATTCAAAATAAATTTTGCTAGCTATCAACTATCAATTTGCAACTGATCATTAAATCACGTAAATAATTAGGATATTAACAAATATATTTGAAAAATTAATATTCAAATATGTTTCTAACTTTTTAGAAATTGCAAAATGACACATAAGTTTTCTAACATGTATTCTCGAGTGTCCGATACGAAACGTGAAAACGTTAACAAGTTGAAAATTCGGTTTTACATACACCCAAATTCCAAATCATACTTAATATTTACCATTATATTAATGTAATTTGTAAATGCATTAATGCAGCGCCTAACTAGTTTCACCCGCGGTGAAAATAAAGGCATTGACCGTGGTCTTCACAATTTGAGTATCAAAATCTTCTAACCAAACTCAATTTTTAATGATTATTGTTAATTAAAAATTTCAATGACAAAAAAGAAAAAAGAAAATATAGGTGTGTAAGTTGTAACAATTGGTACAATATTTTTCTAATTCGTATAATATTTTATTTTTATTTTTATCATAGACACGTTTGTTTGCGTTAGTGTGTGTTTTGTTAATCCAATATTTTGGACTCTAGTCTTTGGGCTCATTCAATTTAAAGCCCGTATTTTAAGTTGGGCCTCCTAATACATCATTTATGGTAAATTACGATCAACTCCCAAGTTAGGGTCAAATTACGAAAAAATTTATGTTTGAGTAATTACAACCAACCCTTAAATATAATTTTTCTTACACGTCCACTCTTATGGTGTCAGATTTAACATATTCTTTTAGATCCGTGAAATGTTCTCTAGTTTGTACTCTGATGATGCTATAAATAGACCACCTTAAGTAGTTGAGTTGGAAGGAGCTGGGAGAGCAAAGTGGATCACTGCCCACGTGCTAAATGGTCCTGAGATATCTGCGAACAGAGAACACGTGAACTAGGCCGGGGATTGATCCGGGCGAAACCCCTCCGACGCTCAAGTCAGACGTGCAGATAGTAGAAATAGTTGAGATAATACCAATTGTAGAAATTGTCAAGATAATAGGACGTACCTTTAAATGAATTAAATCGTTATTTACACATTGTCGATTGGGTTGATATTAATTTGTTGGGCCCAAACGAAAGTGATTGAGCTTTCGTAATAGTGTTCTTCTAAATCGGGCTCATGGCCGAGTAGGTAGAGAAATTGTAAGCTAATTGGGCTGGCCGAATTAGGCATATCATACTTGTTTTGTACAAAAATGCAGTTTCTGATGCACCACAATCTGATATTTACAAGCCCCAAAACACATTTTATTATCATCTTGTTTCAAAATGTGGTGTTTGGAGTCGAAATAGGGTAAAATGAGTACAAACTTGAGATTATTCCCATAAACTATAAGATTCCGTTAAATTTAACATTGTAAGGATCGTGTAAGAAGATTCATAGTTGATGGAGTGGTTGTAACGACTCCAACTTGATGGATTTTTTCCGTAATTTGACTTTACCTCAAGGGGTGGCCGTAATTTACCCTATCATTATTATTCATAAATTTAATGTTTTGAAAACAGGACCGGTCATTGACCCGGACAAGTTACTGAGTCACGGTTAGATCAGCTCAACCAGAGTCAAATGGATTTATGCATTTTTATTTTATAATTATTTATACATATTTTTTATAGTAATTAATAAAGCATATTTTCTTTCACATACATTAACACATTACTCATTTCTAATTAAAACGTAAATCAAACTTATTTTTCTTGTACATACATCACACCGAATCAATTAGAAATTATAATAAAATATAAAATGCCTTCCAATTTCAAAAACATTTATTTTGATGTAATTGTTTTTTCAACTGCGCATTAATAAGATGTCGTTAGGCCATTTTAATTTTTGTAAAAAACGTACAATTTTGAGCAAAAAAATCCACTTTTCACTCAAGTTCCGATTTACGGTTCAACCGTTCAAACTGGACCAAACAAGGCAGTGGTTTATAATTTAACCAATTCAACCGATCGATCCAATCCAGAGTTCAGAACACTGAAATCTAATGTTATAATATAAAGTTCGTAGTCATATTTGGCTTCCCAATATAATATATCAAATTTCCACCTAATTTCTTTTTTCAATTTGGAAGTGATTAAAATATATATGGCATGTTGCACGTACCAAAGAAGACATGTCACATGCAATTTTGAATCGATCGGGACATGCTTGGGTTGCGCCATTTCAACTTATTAAAATGAGTTTAATTAAGTTTGGCAAGATTTGCCCAACAAATTAATATTCTGTTTTCAAAAAGAAAGAAAAAAAAGATTTCAAATAATTATGCACCCATCTTCTAACAAAATAAAATAAATAGATTTAATTAATAAAACTTAAAAAAAAATTATTATATTTTCAGTAAATTTCAATGAGTGTAGTATAAAATAACGAATAACGAGAATCTAACCTAATTCAAAACTACGTCTCTAAGAAATCTATCTATGGACTATGTAACAAATAATTATTTTATAAAAAAATAATAATAAAAAAATTTCTCTTGGCAAATATTATTCCAAACATTAAATGAAAAGCACCATAAAAGCTATTTAGTCAACTGCAGCAATTTCACCATAACCTCACCTAACTCATTAACAAATCCTACTAAATAGCGTGATGTTATTATATTATATAAATATGAGTTAAATACAAAAATGCCCATATACTATAAACTTTGTATCATATACCCCATGTACTACACATAAATACAAAAATTCTTTCATATTACATTTTTTTTCAAAATATATATATATGCTTGAGGGGGGTTTTTGTATTTACGTGTAGTACATGAGGATATTTGATACAAAGTCCATAATATATGGGTGTTTTTGTATTTAACCCTATAAAGATAAATACGGAGGAGAAAGTACAGTTTACACTCCTAAAATATAGGGTTTGTCACAAATATTTCCTTAGATTACAAAAATTACCAAATTGGTCCATGTCATTTATGGTCAACGTCTAAAAACCTCACACCGTCAGTTTTCTTGCATAAAATTTGCCCTTAACATAATATGTTGTAAAACTGCAATTTGGTCCCCTTCAGTTGACCCTTATTTGGGGTCAGTTTGAAAGAATCAAAATTTTGATTTACGTCCCCATACTTTCGGGAAGGTATGTTTGGGTCCCCACACAACTTTATTATACAAATTTGAGGGGCAAAAACGTGACAAATAAAATAAAATTCAATAATCATAAAACTGCTACAAAACCACAAAGTCAACACGCCACGCCATCATCCATAAAAAAATGGATGGACTATTTTGATACGTTCTGTGATTTAATGGGGTGTTTGGGACAAACCCTATAAATCAGGGGTGCAAACTGGAAATAAAATAAGGTCAACTAAATTAATGTATATTATAGTAAAAGATATATTAGACAAATAACTTAAAATACAATTAAATGTCTTTCTACTTGGGATTTCCATTCAAGATTCTTGAAACACAGGCAAACTATTTTTTTCAAATAAAATGTCAGAACAGCTATGCAGTGTATATATATATATATATATATATATATATATATATATATATATATATATATATATATATATATATATCTATACACACACACACACACACACAGGTGTGTTCTTGTAGCAGTGACCTCCATTACAGATGAACCCATTCGCCATACACTCTAAAATCACTCTTCCTTTCACCATCCAACACCACCACAAAACCACACTCACAATCACCAGGCGCGCAATTTTTTTCAAACCGCCATGTTTCAGCCGCTTCAATTACCGCCAAAACCCAGTTTCTAAGGTAATTTCCATTCTTTATAGACTTCTGCATCGTGGGCTTCGTTTTTTTTTTTTAAATATATTTTTTTTTTATTTTTACTTATTTTTTTTCTGTAATTTGCGATCTCGATAGGTTGTGAGAAGCTCAATGGGAAAAGAAAACAATGTATTGGATGGTAAAGAAGCCGCATTGCTTGTAAATACTTGCATTACGCGTAATTTGCCGCCGGTGTTGAGTTTAGAGCAAGGATTGGATATAATTAAGGATGCCGTCGATGAAATTAAGGCCAATCCCCCTTCTTGTTCAAGTGGGATGTTCAGATTCCAGGTTTGTGATTTGGCTCTTCGATTTTAGAAAACATCGAGAGCATCAGAATCCTATTTTCGTGTCGATTTAGTTAAGGCTGTAGAAGTTGCTTCTCTTGTTACATAATGTGTTTGACAGAATGCCTGAAAGAATCAGCTGGATATATTTCATTTCGTATGTTTTCTGCAGTTTGCACTTTGTAGTGTAAAATTCTCGTTAGAAATTTCGTCGTCTTAGATAGAAAGATTAATCGATTTGTGGTTTTTATATTAAAATAGGTTGCGGTGCCTCCGAGCGCAAAAGCTTTGAACTGGTTTTGCTCTCAACCCGAGCAATCGGAGGTGTTTCCTTTATTCTTCATATCGAACGAGAAGGAGAATCCGACGTATAAATCACTTTCATTAGGCAGAAGCAGAGGGGTTTTCGGTATCGGCTCGGCTGTCAACTTTAGGGGGCCGCCGCCCCCTCATGCTTCAGAAAAAGGCAGTGCTATTCAGAGGTAAATTTTTTTTTTTTTTTTTTTTTTTTTTTTTTTTTTTTTTTTTTTACTTATCTGCTGTCATCGTTAATTTGATACGTGCATGTGTTCGTTAATTTTGTTATTGATTTCTGAACTTAGCATCATGAATATTTAATTAGTATGTTGGTTTAATATACGGTGCAGATATCTTAGAGCTGAATCAACATCTTCAAAGGCTTACGGTTTCTTGGATATCGAGTTTGATACGGAGACATCGACTATAAAGCATCAGAGCGGTTCGTTTTACCTTTTCATTCCCCAAGTAAGATATCATTTTTTTTATTTTTTTGTATTTCCACGTAGGCATCGTCCGAATAATACAAAAGTACTTATAGCTCTTCTATAATCAGACAATATTTTCAACAGATTGAGTTGGACGAGTTTGAGGATATCTCTTTCTTACATGCAACATTGGCATGGGACGACTCGTCACTCTGTACTTTTACCGAAACTGTTCAGAAATTTGAGCTCGCTTTCGACCAGGTAGTACAACCGTTTGTTGCTATCTGCCTCTCGATTTTTTTTTTGAATAAAATGTTAGAGGCTACGATAGAATGAAAGTTAGAAGTTGCATATCTTGAATTTCATTTACTAGGTTCGTATTTTTCATCTCATCGATTATTTTCTTGTTCCAGGCCAGACATTCCTGTGCAAATAATAGTAGCCAGTTGATTCACTCGTCTCTATCAAAATTCAACATTGCAGAAGAACATACGGAGATGGTACGTAAAAGACGAAACTCATCTTCGAGTTTTTGCCTTTTCCTATGCTTTTTGCTTTTCTACTCAAGGGTAAACCTGGAATTATGTTTTTGGTAGGTACGTCTGAATGCTCTCTTACTGGACCGGAAGAATCTCGAAGCCAGCGCATTGAAACTGGTAATAGAATCTTTCATTACCATAAACAAGTACGCTTATCGATAAATACGCAAACACCTGATTGTTTTAGTGCATATATCACTTACAGGAAGATCCTTCATCGTTTTGCAACCAGTTCTCCGCCAGGCTGTCACCATCTTTACTAATTGCAAATAACATGGTACTGAACTAGTCGCATGACAAAAACGACATCTTTCACTTTGCATCCAAATTAATTTTGGTTTATTTTTTTGTCTCTTTTCCAGCACCAAAAAGACGACACGAATAAACTCGACTATCTAACTAAAGATTTTCCCAACATCAATGCCTTGTGGGCATCCCTTATAGTTGAAGAATGTACTCGACTCGGTTTGACGGTGAGACTTAATTATCGAAATATTTTCCGAGCATATTTTATATTTACTCGTCAACTTTTTCTAATTTATTTATGTATCCAGTATTTCTGTATAGCTCCTGGATCGAGGTCGTCTCCTCTTACAATTGCCGCAGCCAGTCACCCCCTCACAACTTGTATTGCATGCATCGATGAACGATCACTCGCATTTCATGCTCTTGGTTTCGCCAAAGGCTCTCAGAAGCCAGCTGTCATCATTACATCATCCGGCACAGCTGTCTCAAATCTTTTTCCCGCCGTGAGTTCTAAATTTCCCGCAACTATAATTTATTAATGTATGTCTTTTTATTTTTAATAAATTTGTCCCGGTATGTAGGTAGTGGAGGCTAGCCAGAATTTTGTGCCGATGGTGGTGCTTACGGCAGACCGTCCACCTGAGCTGATTGACGTCGGGGCAAACCAAGCAATCAATCATATATATATATATATATATATATATATATATATATATATATATATATATATATATATATATATATATATATATATATATATATATATATATATGTATTCGACTATGAATTATTACAAATGTAATTTTTATCGCAGGTCAATCATTTCGGAACATTCGTGAGGCAATTCTTCAGTCTTCCTCCTCCATCCGACGAAATTTCCGCAAGAATGGTCCTGACAACAGTCGATTCGGCGGTGTCTAAAGCAACGTCTTCACCAAGCGGTCCTATACACATCAACTGCCCATTCAAGGAGCCACTAGCGTACACTCCGAGAGATTGGAATCGCAAATGCTTAAACGGATTGGACTTTTGGATGTCGAATGCGAAACCGTTCACCACGTATATTCCGCTACAAAATTCACTGACACGCAATAACACAAACGGCCACATGACCGAAGCTTTGGAATTAATTCGAGCGGCGAATAATGGGATTTTAGTGTTCGGTTCGATTCACAAAGAAGACGACATGTGGGCAGCGCTTTTGCTAGCTAAACACTTGCTGTGGCCGGTTATTGTTGATGTCCAATCAGGGTTAAGATTAAGGAAGTACTTATCTTCGATTCTTGATAGGAAGGATATATTATTCGTTGACCAGGTCGATCAATTGTTGTTGTCGGATTCTGTTAGAGATTGGATGAAGGCTGATGTCATCATACAGGTATAATTCTATTTATGAATTGATCTAAACAAACATCATTTGTTGCTGCTTAAAGCTTCTTTTTTTTAATTCGAATAACAGATTGGAAGTCGGATAACGGGGAGACGAATTTCTCAGATGATAGAACAGTGTTGTCCTTGCCCTTACATCATGGTCGATAATCATCCTAGTCGACATCCTAGTCGACATGATCCTTCTTACATCATCACACACAGAATCCACAGTAGCATCTCACATTTCACTGAATTCTTGATTAAATCTTGTCTCCCAGATTTAAGCAATAAAAGAAAGGAATTTATACGAGGATTGGACATGACGGTAATTTTTTTTTTTAAATTTATTGCTATTTTTAATATAATATATTTGACATTCTATTATCTCTTATTATATAGGCTGCATGGGAAATATCGAATTTTATTAATTCCGAGAAATCGCTGACCGAGCCATACGTGGCAAGAAAAATCTTCGAAAATATTCGGTGTGGATCAGCTTTATTTTTCGGAAACAGTATGACAGTGCGTGATGCTGACATGTACGGTAGTAATTGGGTGCAAAGCACCCATAATGCTTCGCTCATGATTAGCTCCGGTTTACCGTGCCACGGGGTCCACGTCAGCGGAAATAGAGGTGCTAGTGGTATTGACGGTTTGATTAGTACTGCAGTTGGATTTGCAGTTGGCTGCAACAAACGAGTAAGTAATATATAAAGCATGCTGTGTATGTATTTTTGAGTTAGTAAATGAAATGATTTTGCATTTGTTTGTAATATATATATATATATATATATATATATATATATATATATATATATATATATATATATATATATATATATATATCAGGTTCTTCTGGTGATGGGAGATGTTTCGTTTCTGCACGATACGAATGGATTGGCACTACTGAGACAACGGTATATTGATTTTCTCCAATATATATATATACATATATACGTTTTCTCCAATGTTATTAGTAGACTTTAGTGATGTATGACTAATTCTTTTTTTGTTTTTTGTAAAGGACATCTCGGAAACCGATGGTCATACTTGTAGTCAACAATCACGGTGGTGCAATTTTTAGTCAACTGCCGGTTGCAAATACGACGGATAGAAGTATACTGGATCAGTTTTTCTACACGACTCACGATGTATCGATACGTCATCTATGTTCGGCACACGGGTAAGTAATTAGTATTTTCTATTTTTACTTATTTATTATTATTATTAATTTTCATTATGTAATTTATTGTCCGTGCAGAGTGAAGCATGTACAAGTGCAAACGAAAACAGAGTTGCAAGATGCATTGTTCGCATCTCAGAGAGAAAATGCTGACTGTGTAGTGGAAGTTGAGAGCGGAATTGATACAAATGTCGAGTTTCACAGGTAGTTAGTTCACTTCTCAAATTAAAAAATATTTACATATTTGTTTCCCCATATGTGTATATATGTTGATGTATTTTATGCACGTTTTCAGTAATTTGAGGAGTTTTACTCGCCAAGCTTCTGATCATGCTCTAAGCATACTCTCGAAGCTTTCAGTTGAAGATTCCACCTTGCACTACAAAATTAGTAAAATGGAATATTCTTTGTACCGGTGAGCGTTTGTGTAACATACATTTACAAAGATCAATAAAAGCAACACAGCATTAGTCTTTTATTTTAATTTTTTTTTCCAAATTATGACAGGGTTAAGCTAAACGCTCCAACTACAGCAGCTTCTCGAAATTCCAACACCACCACTTCTTACAGAGAAGGCTTTGTTATAAGTCTGTTTCTCGAAGATGGTAGTATTGGATTTGGCGAGGTTAGCTTCAGCCTTGTTTTTTTTTCCTGTCTCTTTTCCATAATCTCTCTCTCTCTCTCTCTCTCTCTCTCTCTCTCTCTCTCTCTCTCTCTCTCTCTCTCTCCATGATCATATTTAATGATTGTACAGGTGGCACCTCTTGAAATCCACAAAGAAAACCTGCACGATGTGGAGGAGCAGCTTCGTTTCCTCATTCATGCCATGGAAGGAAACACGATCGATAACAGCCTACCTTTACTGAAGTCGTCAATTTCTTCTTGGATATGGAACAACTTAGGAATTCCAGTAAGCCTTTTTTTTCCAATCTTTATTTTGCATGTATCGATTTCTTGCAATATAAATAATCTTTATTTTCAAATGTACTATAGCCAGGTTCGATCCTTCCCAGTGTCCGATGCGGCTTAGAAATGGCTATCCTCAGCGCAATTGCAAGTACACATGGCACCACTTTATTGGATATAATTCATCCACAAAAAGACGAAATTTCGAAGAATTCCTCTCCGGTTCAAATCTGTGCTCTTATTGACTCTTACGGAACTCCAATGGACACAGCTTTCGTAGCATCAAACCTCGTCGCGGAGGGTTTTACCGCCATTAAAATAAAAGTACCATTTTTCTATATATCGCCAATTTTCCACATTTTCCAATTACGGAATATTCTTATCCGAACTTTCTAATTGTTTCTGTGTAGGTTGCTCGTAGATCAGAACCCGATGAAGATATTGCTGCAATAAAAGAGGTGAGAAAGAAAGTGGGCCCGCATATCGTACTCCGTGCGGATGCAAATAGGAAATGGACTTACGATCAAGCCGTTAAATTCGCTCACTCCGTCAAAGATTGCTGCTTGCAGTATATTGAGGTACATATGATGCAAAGTTCTTTAAACAACGATACGATATTCGACCTCGTTTTTATTAATTGAGCTATTATTCTTGGTAACAATTTTTATTTTCAGGAGCCTGTTAATGACGAAAATGAAATAGTCAGATTTTGCGAAGAAACGGGCTTAGCAGTTGCGTTGGATGAAACCATCAACTGTATAAGAGAGAATCCTCTTCGGTTTCTTGAGAAATACATCCACTCAGGAGTAACTGCTATTGTAAGTTCGGATAATTTTTATATTCACTGCATATTCATTGTTTTATTATGATGCATCAAGAATATGTTTATAGAGTAAAGCCCGAGACAAATTATAGGGTAAATTGCGAAAAAAACCCCTGAACTAAGGTCAAATTACAAAAAAACCCTCATCTATCCGTAATTACAAAACAAAACCTTGAAAATTTGTTGCCATCTTACATTTGTCCCCTTATGGTGTGAATTACGACGGAGTCTTTTTTCCAATTTTACCACCGGGGAGTAATTGTAATAATATTATTTCACGAGGGGGTAGTTGCAATACTATAAAAAAAAATATGACCCGTTCATACTAACCGTTGTGTATGAGGATTTTGTTTTTGGTAATGTTTATTGTTTAAGAGAGTGTTAATTGTGATAATTTGAGCGTTTGACCGTATTAATGTAGTATAAATTATTTCGATTCACGTATTTTTTAATTATTTTGTTTCTAGAAATTCCCCTAGTAGCTCTTCGTAAATTAGTGGGTTAAATATTTCAACAATGGTATATGTCAGGTAATCAAACCAAGTGTTATTGGAGGTTTCGAAAACGCAGCATTGGTTGCACGGTGGGCTCAGCAGCACGGTAAAACGACAGTCATTAGTGCTGCATTCGAAAGTGCTCTCGGTTTATCTGCCTACATCCAATTCGCCCGTCATCTCGACCTTCAAAACTGTGAAATGCAGAAGCTAACGAACAAAAAATCGGCACCAATCACATCTCACGGTTTCGGAACCTACAAATGGTTCAACGAACAAGTAACGGAATATTCTCTAAACATCCGTCACAATCCAAATCACGGCTGTGTGGAGGCAGACGCTATCGAAGCCGGTCAATTCCTCCAGAAATGTCGTCTAAATCCTGATATAGTCGTCAGAACCTTTCTTGCTGACCAAGTCAAGGAATACCAATTAGCGGTCGATTCAGGTGGGGCCCACTATTCGATAAATGTGGTCGAGACTGGTGAAAGCATTGATGTAAGTGATATATATTTATATACATTTATAATATGGGTAAATTAAAACCACCCCCCTAAGGTATGGTCAAATTACAAAAATCCCCCTATTGTTTGGGTAATTACAACCACCCCTCAACTATAAATCTTCTTACATGTCCACCCTTGCGGTTTCAAATTTAGTGGAATCTTCGAGATTATATGGAATATTATCACTTTTGTACCCATTTTATCCCATTCTAACTCTACATTTTGAAGCAAGATGATCATAACATTTGTTTTTTGGCTTGTATATATCAGATTGTGGTGCATCAAAAACTGTATTTTTACACAAAACGAGTACAAAGTAGAGCACATTCCATGAAATCTAGATGATTATGTTGAATTTGACACCATAAGGGTGGATGTGTAAGAAAAAAACATAGTTGAGGGGGGTAGATGTAATTATCCAAACAAGAGGGTTTTTTTCGTAAATTGACCATACCTCAGGAGGGTGGTTGTAATTTACCCTTTATAATATTTATTTTTGGTGAGATTATTATTAATGAATAAGTTTCTGATGTGCAGGGTACAACGGTGGTGTTTCTGCATGGATTTCTCGGGACTGGCGGAGATTGGATGCCGATCATGAAAGCCGCCTCGATCTCCGCCAGGTGCATTGCCGTTGATCTTCCAGGTCATGGTGGATCGAAGCTAAAACATCATCAGGGAATCGACGGTTCAGATCGACCGGATTTATCAATGGACGTGGTGGTTGATATCATACGCAAGGTGTTGGATAATCTTACTTCCGAAAAGGTCATACTTGTCGGGTACTCAATGGGAGCTAGGATAGCTTTATACTCCGCCCTAAAATACAGTAATAAGGTATTCAAATATATATAAATAATAATATATATTTGCTCGATTTTTTTTTCTTGCTTCCGAGTGATTAACAATGTGGTATTAAAAAAAGGTTGAAGGGGCTGTAATAATTTCTGGAAGCCCGGGTTTGGTAGATGAAGATTCGAGAGAAATTCGTAAAGCTAAAGATGAGTTTAGAGCTAGCACACTCGTCTCAAATGGCTTACGATTTTTTACCGAGGCTTGGTATGCTGAAGAACTGTGGGCTAGGTAAATAAATCTTTATATTTTTCATTTAATTTTAATATCAAAATTAAAATATAACAATTTTTTTTCTTCATCAAAATGCAGTTTAAGAGGCCATCCACACTTTAAGCAGATAGCGAATAACCGTTTGCAGCATGACGATTTGCTAACTCTAGGCAAAGTTCTGTCCGATTTAAGTATCGGAAAACAGCCGTAAGTTTCTGAAATTTTGTCCATTTAAAAAAATATTTATTTATATATATATAAATCGATCTTTCTATTTCGTTTTATTTCTTGTAAAATAGATCAATGTGGGAAGATCTGAAGCAATGCAAAGTGCCACTCCAGCTTATAGTGGGAGAAAAGGATGCAAAGTTCAAGGCAATCGCTCGTGAGATGCAAACGAAGATCGGACACGAAAACGGAATTGCTAATCCCACACCGGTTGTTGAAATTCCAGATTCTGGACATGCTGTACATCTCGAGAATCCTCTTGCCGTTATCGCTGCTATAAATCGGTTTATAAAGAGAGGGAACTAAGAACACGTAATTTCTTTCGGAAAAAAATAAAAATAAAAATAATAACGTTTTGATTGTTTCGTTGTCTCCAACCATAGACAACTTACTTTTTTTTTTTTTTTTTTTCTATCTGCTGTTGTATGAGCACCGGTATAAAATGTGCTCCTTTTTTCTATCTGTGTTTCGAGTTTGAATTTTGTCTTTGTGTGTTGGAGTTTATAAATGAAGAGTGAGTTGATTGATTAGAACTTACAAGGAAGATATTAATCATTTTGATTCCAAAGAATTTTTCCCGAAAAATGTCGATTCTACTCCTACAGCCGTGACGTTTATTTATACTACTTTTTAGAGGCCAAAATTACCCTTAGGGAGCCCTTACACGGAATCTTTATTCTTCTTAAATAACACCTTCATATTTTTTTAATATTACCATTATCTATTAGAGGGTAATTAATTTTTGTATTTAAAAAGTAGCATAAAAAAAATTCCACGTTTGCAAGGGTAGAATTGTCATTTCCTGTAAGGGGGCGACGTAAGACGATGACAAAAGTCAAGGGGTTTTGGTAATTATAGATAGGTGGGGGGATTTTTTTATAATTTAGCCTTAGTTAAGGGTCTTTTTTTTTGGTAATCTACCCTTAAATTAGGGATCCAATATACAATTATCCAAAAAACCAAGTCATTATTAGTTCATTCTTCTCAAAATTTTAGGATCAACCTATTTTTCAGAACTTCCGAAAAGTTAAAACAAAATACCATACAAAACCGAGTGTTTAATTAATTATGACTTATCTTACCAACCAAACTCGGTTCTAATTCGACCCGACATTGTATTATATTCCTTACCGATAAAGGAAATACCGTCGATTTATTTTACAATCTTTACCAAACTGAACTAATGAAGAAAAAAAAACAAGTGTTGAAACTAAAAAAAAATGATCATCATATGTAGTTTTAGCTTACACGAGCGCATGTCGAAATTCAGTTTACGGCGTTTTCGCCCCTTAAAATTCTCTATACTCACCTCCCCCACATGGCAAAAAGAAATGAAGATTAAAAAAAAAAAAATGAGGCTTGGTGTCAAACTAGCTAATATTAGCCATTTCAAGAAAGTTATAATAATAATAATTAGAAAAACCCTAGAAATAAATAAATCACATTGTACAACTAAAATAAGAAGTTAATTGAGGTGCAGCTTCTCCTGCACCACTAGTATAATATACATGATCATGCACACCGTCATCATAGCTCGTGCCACCGTACACCGAGACGAAACCCTTTTCCTCGCGGGCAAATCTCGTCAGAGGCTTACTGCCAGCTGGCAACACGCTGCACGAGATGGTTCTAGTACTGGACGTAGAATATTCTTCCGGAATATTCCAAGAATGGAAGATGGAAGATAAGGGAAATGTTTCTGTGCTGAAAGAGTCTCTCGTGCTCTCTGTGGTGAAAGACGAGTCGTCCGAGCTTGTTGTGAGGTGGGACCCGTAATCGGTTGATGTTGTAGCATCGGAGAATTCTTCGATGTAGTTTTTTAGGGTTGATGGTGATCTGCTTCTGTTTTCTCTTACAAGGATGCCTCTTGAGATGTTACTGTTATAGTCGGCATTTTTACCGGTGGCTTTCGTATTGCTACTTTTCGTATGGCGTGGCGATGACCTGGTGAAGTATAACAATATTCAGAAAAAAATAAAATAAATAAATAATGAAAGGGTTTTATAATTGTTAAGGCTGTAATAATTTGCATGAAATAGTGACACTAGGAAATGATGCTGATTATTATTACCTCATATAGAAGAGAATATATGCTCCTTCAGACATCACCTGGCTCGATTCTACCGGTTGGACCTAAACGAGACATAAATGAATCAGAAATGCAGCACTAATGAAATTACGAAAACGAGAAATGCAATTATATTACGTGGTTTTATGCTGTATTAGGGGTATAAATCAGACGGGTCGGATCGGAATTAGCATTTTCAGAAAAATCCAGTTTTTTTTTTTTTTTTTGGAAAAAATATAAATTTTTTTTTCGGAAATTGGAATGAAACAAACTTGTTCTAAAAATCAGATATTTTCGGATCGAAATCGGCGGGATTCGGAATTTCTAAATTTTTAGTCACCTACAATATTAAATACATAATAATATTTGATATTATAAGTGCAATTTTCGGAAAACAATCGGAATTTTTGGAAATTAAAACCGGATCGGAAATCGGAATCTGATATGTATTCCAATTCCGTTCAAACCAAAATCGGAAAAATCAGAAATTGGAATTTCGAAATGAAAAATATTGATCCACAAACGGATCGAAATTCGGAAATTCCGTTCCAATTTCCACCCCTATGCCATTTAAATCAGACTTTTACCTCGGTATCGTCAACCCTGAACCAATTCCCATGCAGATCTTTCACGTACGAGATGTAATGACCCGAAAAAGATGCATTATATGAATCTAGATGCACCACCACAGCATAGAGCACGTAAAGCGGAGGAATATCATCCGTTCCGGTCATAAACGGAATCATATCCAGCATTTCCGGAAACGTTATGCATTTATTTATTTTTCCATAATTTCCCTCCTGAAAAAAAAATTTAAATCCACAATTTAATCAATAAAACTTAAAGGCTAAAATAATAATAATAATAATAATCATAACACTAAAGTGAAAAAATACCTGAAATCTCTTCAAGACAATAGTAAGAATATTAGGAGCCTCTTGTATCTTCAACTGCTTCAATGCTCGAACATACGCAGCGCACCTTTTTATTATATTCGATAATTATTTTCAAGAACCGTAACTAACAATTGAGTAAACTGAAATTTACATTTTCAAAACAAAAAAAAAATGGGGGCCCCACAAACCTCGGACATCGGTACATATTCTCTCCATCGAGATCTTCCAAACTTGTGAACTGCGTTAGTGCATCCTCTAATGACTCAACCCAACCGAATATCTCCAATGTAAGATCCAGCATACTCTCGTACCGCTCCGATTCATGATTACATCTCAAACATTTGACCTGTTTTAAGTCAGTTTTTTTTTTATTCCGGGGGGCAAAATGGGTATTTATCAAAAGATTGAATTTTTCGAGCATACCTTTGATCGAAGGCACCCCCCAAAAGTGTGTTGTATAAAAGTCGTATTCTGCAGGACGGGATTAACTGCATTTTCTCCACCGAAACTTTCCAAGCTTATCGATTGCATCGATGCCACAAGCAGCCTGAGTTAATTAATAAAAAGCCATTGCATGCGTGAAATTAATTAACTACGTTAATTATTGCGTTAATCAAATTAAGAATTTCGAGAACACGTTTAAGTATGAACGACCTTAAAAACTCGTGGGCATCTTCTTGGCTTCCGTCACCAATCTGTGAATTAAGACTTCGAATATATATAAGAATATTGACAGGTGTCAACGGGCCCCCATTTTCTCTTAGCATCTGTACAAACTGCTCGAGTTCACACACGAGGCACCAATCTTTCGTACACCCTGTGCATGTAAATATACACATCAATGGTTTTCTAGCAAATAATAATTAAAAAATTAAAAAGAGTCTCTTTACGGCTAAATAATAAAATAAAAATTTAAGAAAAAGCAGTTACCGGCAGTAGAATGCGACTGACGAAGAAGATACACGATCAGAGGTTTCGTGTATGTGAGACATTGCAATACAGCATTCGCATAGCAACTGCACAATAATAAAGATAAATTATTTATTCTGCAAGATCGGAATATTTAGAAAATATAAAATTTTACCTGTTGCCGCAATTCACGAGTCCTCTCGGTGTAAAATTGAGGGCTTCAAACTGAAAGCACTTCACAAATTCCTCGTATGGAAATATCATCTGACAATTAACACAAGTTCAATACGATTTTGTTTTTTATTTTTTTTTCATGTCTAAAGTCCGAAAAATGCTACAGATTTCATAAACCAATAATCCCACCTTCATTTTTCTTTCTTCTAAATGTTGACCATGGTCAATTTTTACCGACTTCTTCATACTCATAATTCCCGTGTTTGCAGAGTTGTCTGTTACACTAGCAACTCCTGCATGAAAAAAATAGCTTCGTAAATGGAAGAGAAAAAAAAATTGCGTTCATATAAGGAACAAACTGGACATGATCACACGAACATACTCGACTCGTTTGCAGGTTGACCTTTTGAATTTATTATATCTGAATGCAACGGTTCTTTAGACACTTTCGCCCTCGATTTTGGAGACTTGTGCATTTCAATTCCATTATCACTCAAAACAATTCTTGATTTATTACTCCTTTTAATCAAAGTCCTTTCGGAAGAGCAATTGAAGCTCTTTGTTTTATGCGACACGTTTTCTTTATTAGCGTGATTTTCCGAGACGAAAAAATCACCTTCCGGCACCTGCAACACAAAAAAAATTACCATAATTTTGAGAAATGGCTAATATCTATTTATACATCGAGAATTACGAAAAAAAAACATATTATTTCTCACATAAGAATCTTCTAGTGGCTTCGAGAAAGTGCCAGTTCTTGAAAATTCTCCATTATTGTCATCGAGCAACGAGTTCATCTCTTCAAATCTTCGATCAAAAGACAGTATTTTTATCAGACCCTTTTCACTTAAGAATTAAGATACGGTTAAATGTTTTTTTTTTTAATTTTTTTGTGTGTACCTATGCAAGTCTTTTCCCAATTGTTGGCACTCGAGCTTGTGCACTTGCCTCCAATGAAGAATCTGGCACCTTCCGGAACTATGTACGTACACACATGTTATAAAATTCATAATTAAATTGCGGTCCACGATCCAGCTGGTAGTTCATCGAAGATTCGAATATCTAAATCCAAAAAAAAAAGAGAGAGAAAGAAAATGGCGGCATACCAATACCGAACGGATTTGCACTGTGAGCAACGAGTAGTGGCTTGGCCAGAGCATCTCGCGCATTGATGAACCACACCGTTTGGCAAGTGAACCACTGGCGGCGGCATTACGGCGGCAACAGCCATGTTGTTGAACTGAAGAGATTCGTCAGCGGCAATCACACTTAACCTCTCTTTCGATTTTGCGGACTCGCTCCATTTTCCTAGTAAGAAGTAACTGACTAGTGGAAGCACGATGAAGACAAGAAACAAAGCTGGTAATTCGGTTTCTCTTGGCTCGAGCATGTCCTAACATGCATACTCATATCCAGAGTTTTTTCTCAACTAAAGTTTACTTTTTTCCCAAACGAGAAAGCTTCGTTCAGCCACACAATCTCAATCTGTTTAATTCAGAAAAAAGAAAAAAAAAAAAAAAACTTTAGCATAAACAACGGTTCTTGATATCAGTTGCAAAAACAGAGGATATGTATTTTATTTGGCAAATCTCGAGCCGTTTTCATTGAATTTTCTCGTAACAGAAAAGCGTATGCAAGATTTATATTGCAAATCTCGAGCCTTAATTTATGGCAAGTCGAGCATCCCGACACGTCTCGCTCAACCGGCACAACGTGTCATGTAACTAGATCTACACTTCATTTAATTCGCTACACGACAAGAAATTTATACTTATGATCTACGAACTTGTCTTGTTATAGCTTCTTACACCCATAATTCCGCGACAAATGCCGCTTTTTCATAGATATAAGGTTGCTACGAAATCGGTTATTAACAGAATCATGTGGGACCCAAAAAAAATTATTTCGACAGCTTAAGTTAAAGAACAAAAAAAAAAAAGAAACCGCCTACGATTAGGTCATATGATTCTAAAATTGCATAACTAGCAATAATTCCAATGTGAACAAACCATACAACTGTGAAAACTGATTAATACCCGACAGAAACTCGTCTTAATTTAGAATGTTTATCCGACATTCGTTCCATCCAATCTCAACAAAACATTAGAAAACAAACAAACCCTCAAGTTCAAACAATTAATCCACATTAATTTATTTATTTACTTTTTCCCTCCATAAAGATTTAATTTTTCCCCAACATAAAAAAAAAGATCAAATATTTGTGCAGATTTCAAAAAACCAAAGAAAACCCACATCACAAGAACATTCAATTCAAAGATTTTACACACACACACACATACAGAGAAATAGAGACATACACAACATATACGTATATATACACACACATTCAAATATCACAATCACACCATAAATACCAACATTTTGCCACAAAATAAAATCAAGAAAAGAAAACCGAAATAACTGATGAGTGCTTCTTGATTTGTACCTTTTTCTTTGGGTTTCTCAAATTGAAGAAAACGCAGCTAAATTAGCCTTGCACTGCAGAAATAAAAGACCTGACGCACAGAAAATCAGTTTCACACTGAAACTTCTTCTTACTTCAACTTTTAGTGGGGGTGGGGGGGGGGGGGGGGGCGATCGGGGACCGGGGGGG